CCCCCCCAAATCCCTCATTCTCCTACAATTCTAGTTCTAGTGACGATCATCTTTAATAAAGTTTAGTGTGTGCTTAGACGTGTGGGAGGCAATGTAGAGGATGAAAAAGAACAATCTTAAAAACAAAAGAGTGGTCAAACGAGATTCATACTCAAAGAAGCAAAGAGAAACGAAGAGACTTTGACAAAGTGCTGATGATGCTTAAGTAGTTTTCAAGCTGGAAAAGTAAGATACGGGTCAGAACAGAGACTCTCCGGACGCTAGATAATTTCCCTTATTCAGGCACTTCGGCCATACATTGAGCAAGTATTCATTTGCCCTGTGATCACAAACTAAATGGCAGTGCCACAAGGTGCATGAAGAGTTGTTATGGGTTAACTAATTTAATCATGCTTCATATTCTGGCTATCTCAGATATGAACTTTTCCATAATAGGGAGAACCCGTCCAAATATCTTGTCAGGCTTAATTACCCATGACAAAGGTGGATTGATAAGACAGCAACCCTGATAAGATTTGCTGTAACAGTCCTACTGTCTGGGATTGTAAGGGGCTGCTTTAATGGCGAAACAATTTGATTGTAGTGTTCACTCTGGGAAAGATAAGAGGGAGAGGAGGAGGGAGAAAGCTTTGCACCTGATCCTGTGTATTGTACGAACAGCAATTAACATTTTCGTAGTGCCCACGGAAAGTCTGCATCGTCTGGCCAGACCACATATCAAAGGCCTAAGATTAAAAATGGTTAGATTTACGGCAGATTTTTATCTCTAGAAAACAATATGAATTAAAAAGCAGGATAGAAAATTATTACTTTTGCAGTCGACATGCATGGAACAAAAACAAGAGCAGGATTCTGAGATACTGCCATCTGTATTGCCTTATTGCTTTGCAAGCGTGTAGTTTCAAAATTTACAAGTGTGTTGCACCCAGATTCTATATCCCATAACCTCAACCTTGAATCAGAACCTGAAGCCCAAAGAAGAAAGGATTAAGTTAAAATTGATTAGTAATTTAAGACAGATGTAGAAACCAGCACTATAAATTCTATGATCAAATAATTTATTTCAACAATGGCTCCAAAACTTCCAGTTACCCTGTATTCGAGGAAAGGGCTACTCTAATGTGTTGCCTTCACTTCCGGGGCCAGTAGAAGATGCCACAGAATATTTTTGGTTTCTCCAAAATGGCAAACATTCCTGATCCACTTAATCATTCTCATAACTAGAGCACGCTGATGTGCTAAAGGGAATAGAGAAAAGCCGAAAAACTTTGTAAAATCCATGTAATAATAAAAGCATCATTAAAGATGGTACACTATACACTATATATCTTGTAATTAGTTTCTACGAATCTGTCTAATCAATAATGTAAAGTAAACATTTTGTATTTTTTAATTCTTCTATGACTGAAATTCTTCTATAAAGATACTACACTGATTTCTCAGCTTTTCATACCCAACACAAAATACTTGGACCACCTTAGCAGTAAAATCTCAATCCTACCTTTCCCAAAACTGTTAACAGATTTGAACAATCTTGATGGAATCCTAGAAGATTATTATATGAATACTTTCCATGTTTAGATCCTTATTTTTAGGAAACGTTATATGATTTATTTACTAGATTCCTTGGATTTTATTATGTTTATCCACTAGATTCTCTAGGATTTAATTATATGTTTCCTACTTACAGATTCTTGGTAACCCTATGTACAGGGGGCTCATGCATTACAATCCATACAACGCTGATATGAATAAAAATTGGTACTTCTCCCACAATCTCTCTATTATTCACTTCCTTTTGTCTAATTCTTCTTCCATTTTTATCTCCCTCCTATCTTCCCCCCTTCTCCTTTTTCCCTCCTCTCCCCGTTTCGTATAATTCTATTATTTTATTTGATTGCATCCTACATCAAATCTGTTTACATATTTGAATATTTAAAGATTGAAAAAATCAGTTGACAAATTGGATCAAAGAAGATCTTGAATGTACAACTATTTATATTTATTATAAAAAGAATTTTCCTTATAAACAGCTATATACAATTATTGTGTGGAGACTTTCTTATGTACACTTATCTATATTTATTCTGTCAAGGTAAAATTGACACAGAAGTGGCCTTGGATGTCGCTGATGCAGAACTGTTTAGTGTTGAAAGTGGATTCTGCATACTCAAATTAGTAAATTATACAGTTTCTTTGTTTTTCCCCTTCACTAAATACTCGAACCCTTAGATCCATTAAGATGAGCGAAGAACTCAAGCACCCCTTCAAATCACAGAAAACTCCAGTTTAACACCATTTTCAAAAACTTGTGCTACTAGGAAAGGAAAAGTCTTCACAAAAAAAATATAAATAGTAGTACGTAAGGAAAAGTGATGCGACCAGAAGAAGTTAGCTTGCACGGCGTTTAGGGGCCATCTAAAGGCCAAAAGAAATTCTAGCAAAGTCTTGATCTGAAGCCCCATTCTCGGACAATGGAGTCATATTTTGCCTCATGACACCAATTTCCAAGCAGAAACAGGCTCCTGGGTTGGAGCCCTTAAGCCCCATAATTTAGGACAAATTTCATTGTTCTTGAGTTTGAACATGTGTTGTATTAAAATTACCGGGAAATCAGGGTTTTAATATTGTTAAAATTTGAAATGATCACACCGAGATGCTTATTAATCTCTTCTAGGATTGAATTTGTGGAATTAGATCGTTAGGGCCACACATGGAGTTTTTTAATACAACTGATGGTGGACAGATTCATTGATTATTGATAAAAGAATTTGTCTCAACTTTTTTGTCCTACTATCGGTATTCAGGGTAAATAAACAAGTTTTGTTGCCTAATTTTTAGTATTTTTTCAAATCAACATAAGATTAGGAAGTTCTTTGTGTCCATTCATGTGGTTTATTGATTTCATTATTAACATTCCTGTGTCAAAAAGTCTTCACGTGATAAATGTAAATGGTTGTACAGAAGGAAAAGTCTTCATACAATACAACGTAATAGTACTGAGTTCAAGATTTCCTTCAATTTCTCAACTAGTTGTTGGATTTATTCAATCATTCAATATTCAAATCTTTCAACTGATTATAAATATGTTAACAACTATATGAAGCAACAATATAAAACAATACATGTTTCTATTGCCTCTAACAAAAAGAATGGTATCGGAGCTTAGATTTGCCTCTAACATTATTGCTTCTAACTCTCGCACAGTGCAGTTCTTACTTTATGAAGGTTTCGAACCTAATCTAGTAGAAATCTATAAGCAAGCTCCACGAGAATGGATATGAAACTTTGGAAAATATAATGTCCAATGTGTAGGGAGAGGGGTCACGTAGCAAGTTAAGGATGGAGATGAGCCTACAACTCAACAAGCGACATATGAGCAATAGTCAAATGCTGGTTAACCGCTCAAGCTGAACTAGCTACATATATCAATAGTGAGAAAAAAGGTGAGCAACGACAGCAGAAGACAATGTATCAAACACCTAACTTCTCGTAATGTGAGAACTCTAAGAAGCTAAAGAACATACATGTGAAATGTAGATGCCTGTATCAAGAGCTAAAAATATTTGACGTGACGTAGAATTTTTGGCAAGAATTTGGGGGAAGAAAAAGAACTGCAAACAATATTATAAGATGCATGTAGGCGAAAAGATGCTAAAAATGATACCTTCAATCACAGAAAAGAATTGTCTTTTTTTTCTGTTCTATGCATCCCAAAGGATAATCCAACCATGTAATCATTTCAGCCGATTATGTCGACTAAAATAACAACACATAAACCCTTAATGCATTAAGGAAAAGAATCTATATTCATATGTAGTCCATGAATGATGGGTAAGAAATAGCTAGAAAGCGAACATATAAAAAAGTGGATTCTACAAATTAGCATATCCAACCTGCACTTAGAAGGTACATGCCATCCTCAGTCACCTTTAATCCAGTAACGACTCCATAATGAGCAGTGGCACGATCATGAGTTGATAACATTCCAGGATGTAATCTTTGCTTCACATCCTTTGCTTGACTGGAAATCCTACCAACACCCAAAGGCTTAAAAGCATTACTGACGGTTGCTTTCTTTTGTGGTGCTTGGACTTTAACAAATGAAATTTGGGCAGATGACGATGATTTTGATGTTGAAACCTGCACAAGAATAAAAGAAAGCACCACCAGGCTGAAAAATAACCATTGCAAAGTGACAACGTCTTATGGATTCAAAGCATCAAACCAAATCTCTGTATGTTATGTATTAAGTTTTTGAGAAGGAACCTTATGCCTTGCATGTTTAAAGTTATTTGAAGGGGAAAGAGAAGGAAACAAAAAAGAAAAAAAACAAAATAGGGACATTCTATTTTGTTTCATGTTACTCTGCAGCGTTGCATTTTAGTTATCCTTTCTCATTTTTCTTCTCACTTTTCTAGCTTTATTAAGGTGGCTCAGTGCAGCATTTCAGTTTTTAAAATTTTTTGTGCACAACAATAATAATAAACTAGCAGATGATTGTACAGGCGACAAGCTAATGTAGTACTACCAAGCAAACTCAACATTGACATCACCTCCTAAATAAAACCAATAGCATAAATACTGCACAAGGCTACCGAGTATTTTATATCTCCTATGTGAATTGCTTTGGCGAAAGATGTAAGAAAGAGGGAAACCTTATTTGTTGCTGAACACTGTAGGAGAGGCGGACGTCTTCCAAGCTGAGAGTGGGATTGATCTAATACACGAAAACATCCAGCTCGCCTGATGTCCCAAAAACGTATAGCACCATCACATCCTCCAGTTACCAAAACCCACTCACTAGAAGTAGACCACTCCAGTGACATTACACTGTCTGTCATACGAAAAACAATAATTAATGAATGTACTATACATGTATATAAATTCTAAATACCAAATAGATGTATCTATGTATACATCAATACAGGGAGAAGCAGCAAAATGAGAGGAAAAGAAACAAAACTAGCAATTTCAGATTCCATTGTGAGCAGTACAATTATTGCAATATACAAGGAAACGAAAAGCCTAAATACAGTGCTAAAATAAGACAAGTACAACGAAAGAAAATCCAAGGTTCAGAAACATGTACAAGTATGCACAGAAATTCGTGTCCCAACCAGGTTCCCACTCGTAAGATAATCATTTACATGTTTAAATTGTAAATTCGATTGCCATGATCACATGTTGATAAATTGCATTCCTAACTAAGCCAGATTAGTACTATGAATAAATTGATCCACTCTAGCTATGATCCAACTTGCCTAGTTTGCAGGTGGGTCATGTTCATTCATTAAAATAAGACAAACTCGACCAGATTTTGATGCTCACCAAGAGATTGAGTTCAACCAACCCAAGAACGTAGAAAACACAAACAGTACCAGTATTGATACTTGATAGTTGGACGATCTGAGGGGATATGCGCATCAACTTCAACACTAGGCATTATCTATAAGTAAATACTCAACTATATCCCTTTTTCTGTCCACCTTTTTAATCAGCAACTGTTGAGCACCTTATATCCAACAACAGTTTGCCTTGTATATCATTATAAATCCTGTAAATTTGACAGATTCAACCTTTAGGAAGCAAAGTGTAGATCATACACAACCTTTCTATCAGTGAGTTGTACCATAAAGTAGAGATAATATCAAAGCAAGGTTCCTTTATTTGCTTAAAACACTTTCACACATGAAAATTCCGCTGCAAATTATGGAAACTCGGCAATTTAACCCAGTCAGTCTAGGAATTCAGATTACATCAAATTGATGGTCCCTCCATCAAATACATTGTCTCAAATTGTATGCATAAAACACTATTCCACACACATGCACATTGTACTACTAATTTGCTTTCCAACCTTTTGCAACTTGGCAGTTAAACCAAGTCAACAAAGAATTTAGATTACACCAAAATTGATAGTCCCTCCATCAAAAGTATCATCTAAATTTACATTCAAAATACCGAGCATATTGCATTTGAATTAATGCGTTGCGCAGTTTATTTTGACTCTTTGAGCAATCAATATAGCAATAGGAATAATCCCCTTGAACAACCCCCTTGGTTGTGTAGTAGCCCCCTATAGCAATATTTGTCATGAATTTCATTGAGTTTCATAATTTTTACTCTTAAAATAAAAATATTGACCATTTTGTTCAAAACTGTTTGTTTGATCTCTATACCTAAAAGGTCAAACAATAAAAATTTGTTGATCGCAATTGAGGAAATACTCAGGTTTAGATAGTAGAAATCAAATGTATGGTAGATGTTATTGAATTATGTAAGTTCTTAAAAGAAGACATTGCCATCTTTCAGGATCCCTGACATGAAGAATGATGAGAAATACCGTGCCTGCTATACCATGTCATCTTTATGCAAATTTGTGCTAACATACATCCAATTATTTATGTCAAACGAAAATATCTAATCTACTGCCAAGACATGAGAATTTATCAACTTAATACTACAAAGATACGTTTAATTATAAAGAGATAGGCCAAAGAGATACTGATTTCAATTACACTTGTCATAATTATCTCAAATAGGCATCTATCTAAGCCACATCGTGTTGAATGAGGCACTCCACAGATAGCATCTCTCTCTATCCATGTAATATTTAAGATAATCAACATGATATTACAGATTGATCAAGAAACAGAAAGGTTTAAAATATTGACAATAACACTACTGTGATACTATATGGGAGGTAGCCTTCTCTTTTTACAGTCAAAAAACTTAACGGACAGCAGTTTCATTTTTTGAGTCATAAAGTCAATCCCAATCAGTCACTTAGAGGATATTCTTAGTTGCCGTAAGTTCTAGAATCATATATTTCCTCTATACTCATTCCCCTTCCATTATGTTCTTTCCATTTCCTCATTCTAACACCAGTAATCACATATAAGTTGACTATCAAAGACAACTTAATAGATCAAAAAGCAAAAAGTCATAAAATCATAAACATCAAAACCGTAACTATGAATATGTCAAGCACTTAAAGAATCAACATCCGCTTACCACGATGACCAGATAGAGTGTGAGAAAATGCACCAGAAGAAATGTCGCAGAGTCGAACTTGGACATCTTCAGTTCCAGAAGCAATTAGCATGTGAGATTTTGCTATTGAAGACATAGCTGTCCTATAAACCTTTCCTGGCATTTTAAAAGTCATTACAACCTGCATAGTTTATGTTGAGAAATTTAAAATGTGAGCATCACTTAAGACCATTATTGTCAGAGATGATACATGTGTGCATTGTGGATAAGTAGGTTCAGGAATAGAATTTTTAATTCTCCACTCCTCCATGGCCCTTTTATCATTGAATTCTGTAGGAATTAGTTATGGAATCTGTTTCCTGGAATAGAAAAATTCCCACTTAAAGTGATTTTCTGAAACGTGTTGCCTGGCCATTTCTACAGAAGAGTTCAAGTGAAGCTGTTTATTAGTTTTGTGGTTCCCAAGTCAAGTCAAGAATCAATGGCTATGGCTTCACTTTTCCCTTTCCCCTTTCTTTCTTCTTCATTATATCTCATTTGGCAACTCCCATCCGATGTTCACTCCCTATTGATTCAGTGCCTCATTGATTACTTGCATTACAATATCCACTACATGCAAATATTCCTTGGTCAGAAATTAAAGTAGAACTACTTGAGTGGATCTCTTCTTTATTTTAAAAGGACATTATCAAATATTATTTTAATTACTTGATATGATTAAATTTGCATTTTCCTTGATATGATTAAATTTGCATTTTCCTTATTTTTAGTAACTAAAAAGTATTGTGAAATTTCCTAACTATTAAATTGTATTTTTAAATACTTGGTAGATTCTCATACCATTCAAATGAGAAAGTACTATACTTTCCTTAGTAAATTTTCTGTATTTTTAACATAGGTATGGAACTTTTAAATTCCTAACATTCCTAAAATTTTTGATATCCAGATGTGAGATATCAATCTCTTCAACTTCACTCATGCAATCCACACACACAAGGAGGAAAGAACAATTGACCTGTGTGGTATTCGTATCCCAAACATTGATGTGATGATCATATGAACCAGTGATAAACAACCCAGTGTCAACTGGATACCACGTCGCCGAGGATATGGCATATTTATGACCATGTTCATGTTGCTTGTTAATGACAAATATAGAGTTGTGCTTTTCAATCTGACAACCTTCCACATAATCAGTTGCACGTTGTACATCATAAACAGCAACAGTTGCATCCGATGCACCAGCAATCAAATATCGTCCTTCTGTCAAATCAACCTGATTTTGTCATTGCAACAAGCCCTCAACAATTCTTTCATAAAAATGCAAGTTCCATTTAATTTAGACCATAAATTTGACAAAAGATTCATCAAGCGTGCATACTCAAAGTTGTCTGCAGTAGAAGTGATCTTTTTTTCTTTTTTCTTTTTTTCAATTTTCTAATTTGAACGTTATAATCTCTTCAAATAAATTTCAATCCTATTTTTAAAAAGTCAACAGAAATCACTGTAGGAGAGAATCAGCAACCTGTAATATCCATAGAAATCAAGAATGAGCTACTGCAAGAAATTGTACAACAAGTCTCGGCCTCAACATGCAAACTTTACTTCTTAAAGCTAACCATTCTTATCCCAGATCTCAAAGAAATATAATTATCATCAGTTTCAAGTTTCAAATATATATAACTGTAAAACACAGTCATAATCACTTTATTAGAGTTTTTAACCCGAAAGAAATTTAACACCAAGAAAAAAAGAACTAATTTACCCAAGTAACAAAATCCTTGGAAGACTCCAAAAGCAGCTAAATACAAGTAATATCGATAGAAACTAAAAGAATTCAGTAACATGAAGCTAGTAACTGAAACTAATGAAGGCAGTAGTTAAAAAGACCTGAAGAGAGTTGACAGAGCCGCGGTGTGAGGAGATGATTTCTTTGTGATTAGAGAGTTGAATGGATGAAAGTCGTGATTTCCGAAATCGATTGGCGAACAAATTCGGATGAAGCTTCCCAAGTTCTCGTTCTCTAGTCTCCTTCCACATCGTCCTCGCATCTTCGATCTTGTCCACCCCCAAACAATCAATCGAATTCCAAGGCCACAATGATACTTATATGTTTAGATAGATTGAGAACAAATCTCCTTGTTTCGTCTGCGAGATAAGAATCTTGGATTAAGTTATTGATTGGACGAGCAACTTGTTCATCTTCGTGTAGCTCGCCTTATAAGAATTCGGGTCGATACTGATTTGGACTGCCCGGAGGTACTTAGGTCAATGGCCCATGTAATTCATGGACTTCTCAAGATACATACATGATCGTTTACATACACATGATCTGATTAGATCAAAATTTATTCAACCTAAAATAAAAAAATTTCTTCACTATCTTTGTGACGCCTCATTTATATGTAACTCCACTGTATACAAATAACATTATTCATATGAAACAGATAGGTTGACATATGAAATTCCAAGCAATTGTTTGAACTAAGATATGTTGCATGATCTTTTGATTCAAGATATCCTATTGTTTTGGAGATAATTTGAAAATATTCTACTAATAACCAACATATTTCCACTTAGAGAGGTTACAACATAAGGACTCTAAGTAATTATAAAGAAATGAATGTAAAGTTCTTTTAAGGCTTACACTTCACGTTATTCATGTTAATTGAAGTCGCATAAAAACTAAGCCCTCGTTAGAGCCCCATTATTTCTCATTACATTAAACTAAATTTTTCTCTTTTCTACTTTTAACCACACAATTTTCAATAAAATAATATTACACGTAAATCAAAAACTTTCAACCACTCATTTTTCAAAAAAATATTATTCATCTTATTATAATCTACAAATAATGAAGCTCAAACAGCCCCTAAATCTCTCATTCAATATATAGCGCACAAAGGAACATTAAACAAAATTTAAAATTTTAATTTTCCTCCTATAGTCTTAGTAACAATATTTTTTTTAAACTTAAATGATGTGAAACTAGACCATATAAGAGTTTGAAAGCTGTAAAAAAAAATTGATGCGTGATAATTTTAACTACTTTATATGTATACTCGGTTATAAACTTCGGGTAAAAGTATTGACGAATGACAACTAAACTATTGACAACATTCATACCAAAAAATTAATGACATGTTTAACATTTCACGAGCTTCTCATTTTCTTTCAAAACTTTAATCTTTGTTTCGTCTTCATACGTATTTCATTATTACGTATAGATATTTTATCATCCAATGATGTTATGCCACTTATACATTATGGACACTCTTACAGACATCATAATGTACATATAACATAACCCTTAAAACAAATATTTTTTAGCAAATAGATATACAGATCTGCAATCATAACTTTTTTTTCCCACATTAGATATTTTACATTAGATATATACATGCATTATTACTTTGATCATTGTCCTTACAACACCTAAGTATATAGTAAGAAGTGAAAATATGTATAATACAGTTTCTCTGCCCTAAATATTCTATAACTACTCAAACTCAATACTTCAACTTCAAACGTGCAAATAGAAAAATATATTATAATTACCATTTACATCTACCAACACTTCAGAAAAATTCTTGCTCCATCTTTTACATTAACAACCTTCTTACATTTCCTTTATGCAATTAAAATGTTACATTAATAGCAACAACTATCCGTGATCTAGCTTGTTGTTCATGTAACTAATAGATATCAAAGATGGCTGGCTTATCTCACGAATTTCTACTTTAGAAAGTAATTGGTCTGCGAAAGTAATTATTGTAGGAAAACAAGCTCCTAGAGCTACTTGTTGTTCTACTGGCCGATACCAAAATCTTGTTCTAATGGATTTAGAAATGAATACATAAAAAAAATTTCATCTTCATGATAACTATTTCTTTAACTAATATCTTTATCTCCTTCTAACATTGAAAAGATTAACAAAGTCTCAACCATACTCTATAATGCAAACATTACAACTCTTGATGATCAACTTAAACTCGGGAAGACATACGTAGTGTCGAATGCAATAGTTAGAAATAACATAAGGGAATTTAAAAGCTAGCCTGAAGAAAAAATTTGTAGCATTATAGGCAAAACAAAGATAGAAAAACCGAATGAAGATAACCTCAACTTCCTTCTTCTCAACATATGATATCACTCCATTTGACGAACTGGAAAAGCACATGGACAAAAACGTCAACGTAAGTACATTTCAAAATATACTAACCTTACAACCAAGAATTATATACAATGTTTAATAGTTCTTTTGTTTTTGTTCAACTTTACAGCATACAAAATATGTAACAAACAACATTTTTCTGTCCTTATTGCATGTGTTATAGGTGTAACTTTAGATTTTTGGCATAAAAGAATTATTTAAACCTACATTGGCACACAAGCCTATCTTCAAATGTTATATTGATAGATTAATAATTCTAGACTCTGATGCTAACATCATGGGACAACTTTGTGCACCTTGAATGCAATAGTATCATGAAAACCTTGCAACAAACCTGTCAAGCGGGCTACAAATCTCAAGGTTTCTTCATTCAATGGTAAATTCAATATAAACATAGCATTCCATTTACGATGATATTACAAAAAATATACAAAAATGTGTCAGATATGATTCATTTGTTTTGCAGGCATTACACTTTCTTCATTAATGTTGGAATATTGGTTGTTGCGAACTATAGAGCATGGTTTTGAAAAGGACTAAGAAATTTTTCCGCTTATTAAATCTTCATTAAAAAAATTTACTAGAAAAGTTAAGTTCTATACCTAACTATATTATTTCTTTCCTACGGCGTGTATACAAACCCACCAAAACTTTTACCTCTAGCTAAAAACAAATTCACACAAATTTGCTAACTTACTAAGAGCCCATCTAGGGGTAATTTCTAAACCATTTCATTAAATATATATAGCATAAATATATTTTTAGTATATTCAATAGTAAACATTATATGAACACCCAATAATTTCTTAGATTACTATTTTCATAATCTATTTACCTATATATATTGCCATACAGGAAAATTTATATTGGATGAAAGCTAAATGGAAAATTATTCCTGCACACCAAACATTTTAGTATATGCCTAGAATTTCCAATAAATAAATAAATAATCCAATGCAGATTTGGAGGAATTCACAAGTGTCACTTTTGCAAGTAAGAACATGCAAAAGCACTTGCACATCTAAACATATACTTAAATATTTACTACAACCATTACTTCGTTTAAACAATGCACAATATCTAATGTAATAACATTAATCTACAAAGCAAATGATTTTGATGTAGGATGAATAAGAAAGAAAGAAGAAGGAATGGGGAGGAGAAACAGAGAGAAGGGAGAAGAGGAGAAGAAACCAGAGGAAGAGAGGGGAGGGAGAAAACGGCTGCAAGCCACCAAAAAATATTTCAATTCTAAATCATCATCAACTTTCTCAAATGAGAAACAAAACAGAAATAAATAGCAGAACACAAACCCTAAAGAGAAGGGCTTGGGCCAAACCCACTAAACAAGCCCAATAACGAAAATATAAACAATAGTCCAAATAAAATATAACTAATAGTCCAAACAGAAAATAAATAATAAATGGATGTCCGCATCAACTCTCCCAGGGTGGGAGAAAAACTCGACCCCGTCGAGTAGATAAAGCAGAATGTTGCACTGAATCTGATGCGAAAGGCTCCAAGTCATGCCACGGGGGACGATCTTTCTCGATGACCAAATATCGAAACTCCACAAATGATAACAAGGATAGTTGTAGCTTATCCTCAAGGATATAATCCAACCAAGGAGGACGATCTTTCTTTGTAATCACATACCGATACTGAACTCCCAATAGTAAAAATTCATGCCACTCATCTCCAAAATCTTCCTCATTGGTCAACACAACCTGTTTATCTAAAATAGCATCAATTACATCTTTGTGTGCTGTGACATGTGTCATTGGAGTGAGAATGGTAATTTATTTAGGTTGGGGATCCACATAAGGAAGTAGAAAATGATCATCAAAGAAATTAAAAAGGCATTTGTAAGTAACTAAGTCTTCAATATGTAAAGTAGAGAGGTGGCCACAATGTGATGAAAAATTAATGACATGTGCGTATGGACCAACATGCTTTAAAACTTTAAAAGGACCAGCACTACCGGCTTGCAATATAACATAATCCCCAATATGAAATTGAAAATATTGTTTATGCAAATCAGTTTGAAGTTTATATAATGCATTACTTGCGTGAAGTTGTTTATTGATCTTAATATGCAAGTCATGAAGACGATGCACAAATGCTTCAACTGATATCGACACACTAGCATGTGGGGACATGGAAATAAGGTCTAACGGCCGCCTAGACTTATAACTATGAACAGCTTCAAATGGATTCAAATCTAGAGACTGATTTACAGAATTGTTATACGCAATTTGAACAGTTGGGGAAATCAAGTCCTAATTTCTAAGATTTTTCTGCACTAGAGACTTGAATAAATTGCCAGGACTTTGGTTAACGACTTCATTTTGACCATCAGTTTGAAGTTGGTCAGTAGTAGGGAATGTTGATTTAATGCTAACCACTGGTGACTGGATTCTCCAAGGGTGGCCAGTGAAATCATCAAGCTCTTTGAGTTGTGCAAAGGTATGACATATAACATGTGACCGAGAGTTGTCAGAAACAAGGGATATAGTATCTAAAGTCTCGGGAAGAGTCTGGAGTCCACCTAAAGAAGTATCCTCACTATCATCCAAGTCATCAAAATCTTCAAGTTTAGGTTCATAGACTAGATCTTCTAATGGCATATCTATTACAGTCTTTCGTTCTTCCATGACTAAGGTTCGATTAGTACATTTGGAAGAAATGTGGCCAAAGTCTTTACAGTTGACGCACAACAAGTGAGAAGAAGACCTTGGAGTTTCAGAAATTTTACCCTGATTTTCCAAGATTGGAGAACCATTAGAAGGGGGAGGTCCTAGAAGGGACTTAATGGGAGGAGGTGGAGCCAATGAAGCCAAATGATGATTATAAAAAATTTTATCCTTATTTTCCAAAATTGGAGGAACATCAGATGGGGGTGGTCCTAGAAGGGACTTAACGGGAGGAATTGGAGCCAATGACACCGAAGGATGATTGTCAATATGCTTTCTACATGGAAAAGGAGATTGTGGACTATCACGATCTTTACAATTATTTTTCCAAATTGGAGGAACATTAGACGGAGACGATTTTATGATAGACTTATGATGAGGCGACGC